CCGTCGTGCCGTACACACACACACACACACACACACACACACACACACACACACACACACACACACACACACACACAGGTATTAATGTATTTCAAAACCCCTTCTATGAACGTACTTATTGACAAATTGGCAATATAGTCTCAACACGTCCCTCCGTCCTCTCGAGAAATTATAACATCATCCAACCTTCCAATTAACATATGTGCATCAATCATCAAACTCTTCACACCTAAGACATCGAATTCAGGTCTATTCTCAAACGCATCCTGACTGCTGTGGAGTGTGTCTGCAGCAGCAGGTGGGGAAGTCATTGAGGTTAAGGACCACAGAGGTGTTGAGGTGTTTGTGCAGCAAGATTTAAAATGGAACTTCTCTAAACAGCAATGCAAACAAACACTTTGAAGCATTTTAAAAAGTTACTCAGAGCAGCCTGCTCTCTCCTCTGTTATCAAAGCCACAGTCACAAACATAAACAACTCAGATTACATTTCATTTGGAGGAAGCTGCGTCTCCAGTTAGCCCCAACCTGCTTGTCTTTAAAGCAACATTTAAAATGAATAGGCTTACAAGTCGGCACTGGCAGAATTGCGTCTGAGTGATTGTTTTCAAACGACTGCCACAGGGTCAGAGCTGGTACTTACTGGCTGTGAAGACTGTGTGTTAGGTACTCAGATCTACCAGGTATTCTAATCCAGCAGCACTGAATTAATTTCAATTGGAAAAGTGACTCAGGAGAGCAACGGAGCAGAAATCCATGGTATGGGTTTAAAAAGAAAAATCTATTTGTAATATAAAACTGCTTGAAAATCAGAACTGACAGATTTGCTGATGTGATTAACAGTTACTAAAATGTAAATACTCCATGGAAGTTACTGGAACAAATGGAGAATGGCAGAAAGAGGGAAGTTTTAGGACTTTCACTCTGCAGACTCTCTGTGCCATTAGAGTATCAACCTTGGTTGTCATTGAATGCTCAGGATTTTTAGTCTTAATCAAATATTTCCCAAACTCACAACATTGATTTTTACAACTTTAAGTAAATTATTGTATTGTGAAACTGCTTGTATTAAAGGTGGGTTAGGTAAGTTTGAGAAACCGGCTCGAGATACACTTTTTGTTATATTCCATGGAATGCTCTTAACATCCCGATAGCAATGAATATTTTAAATGCTTTGATGAAAAATCAGCTTTTTGTGGAAGCCGTAGTACTTTAAAAAGTACGAAAAAAGTCATACTGTAAAAAGCACGACCAATCATCTGAGCCGGCCCGGCTAAAATAACTGGATGGCCTACCTGCCTGTCAGCCTTCCATCTGTGCACAAACTTATCTCTTGCCCTCATTGGTCATGTGCGTGTGTGTTGGAGGAGGGGCTCTGTAAGGAAGTGGCAGATTTTTTCCGGTTGTGTATTTTCAAATTCTAGCGCACTCAAGCTGGTTTCTCCATTCTTACCTACCCCAGCTTTAAGGTATCAGTAAAATGTATGCATTTTGTATATTTTGCAGAATGAAGAAAAGTTTGTTTCTAAAACTGAGGTAATAAACAAATGTTTGAATTATCAGTACAGAAACTCAGGAACAGTATCACATATAATATTGAATTCATACAGTAGCCTATAGGCTATCATATATAATATACTTTAGTAATTAGCTTGGCTTTTATTTGTATGGGTTGTTTAAAAAGGTTGCATGCTTCTCAAAACCCAACCTATCTTTGTTACACTTGTCTACTGTCACTTCCTCTAGAAATGTCCTTGTTTTATTCAAAATGGTGCATTTCCCCCACAACAGTCTCCGAGCAGTCAGGGTTTGGTCCATCATATAAACAGAACTCTGTCCATGAAGGCCAGGTTGTCTGAAAATCTACTTCAGCTTTCTGAGCCCAAGTTAGGTGTTCACGGTCCGATGCGTGTGGAACGAGTGAAATGCTCCTGTGGGAATGTGAGCGGCAGAGCGATACCATCAATCAAACTTAGTGAGGAGAGCAGTGGCAGAACCACCGGTCTGAATCAGCATGCCGGTGATGGAACACATTTCCAACACAATAAAGACGGTTTTTTGTTTTTAAAGGGAACTTTGTATTTTTCTATCTTTCTCACACACTTATTGTGCCAGTGACCATCGTGCCATGATTGAGGCTATGACATTGACCCCTGCTTAAATAATGTGAGCATACGGTAGGGGTGGGCGATATTGAAAAATATATTATCACGATATTTTTCAAGGAGTATCACGATAGACGATATATATCACGATATTTTTTCATGTTGGTTATTATGGTTATTTCTCAAGTTACTTAACAGAACAACCACCTACAAGGTAACAGAAACTAAAACANAGTGACCATCGTGCCATGATTGAGGCTATGACATTGACCCCTGCGTAAATAATGTGAGCATACGGTAAGGGTGGGCGATATTGAAAAATATATTATAAATAGACGATATATATCACGATATTTTTTCATGTCGGTTATTATGGTTATTTTTCAAGTTACTTAACAGGACAACCACCTACAAGGTAACAAAAACAAAAAGGAGTAACAGACCAAAATAGCATTTTTTATTTCTGAAATGAATCCCTGAATGATTCAACATTTTGATATGGCT